CAACAATAATAATTAATTCTTGGTGAACTTGTATATTTCCTTATTTGGCATGATCAAAGTAATAATGTGTAGGTTTAATTGTAGGCGCAGGCGTAGTAATAATGAACTTTCACTTGAGCCAAGTCTTTGATGAACACGATCTTTATGTAATTATTGTAAACAAACTTTACAAATCTAATAAATTTGACAAGTTGGCTAATTTTCACATAAAATGCATTTACTGAATTGATAAATGTAACGGTAAAGAAATTACCGTTACCGGGGAGGTTACCGATTCGTCATGGCTAGGGCAATCCTTGTAAATATGACCAGTAACATTACTAAATCAAGAAAATGTGTAAAGTTCGGATAACCGTGAGAGGTGATACAAATCACATGAATTAATAAATATCCGCGATTAAAGTTTTAGCGTTTAGCTTTAAGTTACACCTGATCTTGTGATCTGCATCAAAATTTCCTTTAGGGCTTGCAAATGTACGCCCGCGCTTTAAATGAACCCAATTCGTAATTCGCGGCAACTTGCCGCAGAATAATCCTGATGATCGTCCAAATAAATAAATATATCAATTTACTGTACCAGGTAATTATATGTAACACGAGCTTATAGGAATAATATTGATATGGGGATTTGTTTATAAAACGTGTCCTAACAGGAATTTGTTTTGCGATTGAAGATAATAGAGTTAATAGTTATTTGGGATCCCTTCTAGTCGGGTGATGAGGTTATTGAGATGATAAAAGAAGGTCACGGAATCAAAAATCCGGTTCAATATGCAATTTATTTTTGTCAATTTTTTTTGATGTGTATTACATAATACAAATTAATACCTTGTGAAACTTAAGCAAATTAAGAATTTTGAAAGTCTTCTTTTATTTTTTTTTCAAAATGGTTATTGAAAATGTGTTCCATAATGTGACGCAGACTTGTGTACTATAAATGAAAACAAATCTTTATAAGCAAAATTAATCTGTTTATATTTGATGTCAATTTGCGTATTTCAAACATTTCGTGACATTTCCGATAAAACGGTAACTCGTGTTTAAAAGATTATAACAAAATATCTAGCCGATAAAATTACGTCGGTGATATCTTATCCGATAATCATAAAACTTGTTGACCCAGAACTTAGAACAATTATAAATCGAATGCAAGTACATGTAAACAATGATATCTCGCTTACGTGTACATACATATATTTTAAGAAACGAATATTAATATGGAAAATAAGGGAAACCGAAATCGGTATATGTTCAATGATAGTTAGTTGCCATATGAAAGATAATGAATGGAATTAATCATGATGATCTTCTTAAATTTATTAAAGAACTTGTTTGGTTTACTATACCATCATTTGGCGCGTTTGTTCAAATGTAAGTTTAAACATTACACATTTCATCATTAATTTTTTTTTTTATTTGCCACGTTATGACTTATTTCAAAGATTATTATGACTGTGTAAAATGAATTGTTATTCATTTTGTCGAATTGAGATACTAACAAAGTCCAATTGAATGACCTACTCGAAAAAAATTCTATCACCTTTGTGAAATATGATACTTTCTTAATTTCTAGTTATATTTCAATGAAAGCTACGTAATAGAACATTCTTTGCGCAAAATTCTTCAGCTCCGAAAACTCCTAGTGTATATGCCTATATACTTATCTTTCATGCTACGCCTAATTTCAAATTATATATAAAAACACATTTTTTTAGCATCAAAAGATTCCATGGAGGCACTTAACAACCTAAACAACATGGATCCAGCATCAATACAAGTTCCCTTCCCACCAAGAGTCTCCGTATCACGTCTCGTAGAAAAGCGTCTCCAAACCCCTGCACACTCGAAATCCCCGAATTCGTTTTTTATTTATCGCGGGGCTTTTCTTGATGAAGCTCGGGCACATAACGTTAAAGTCAAGATGACGGAAATCTCCCCAATTATTTCAGCATCTTGGAAACAACAACCTCCGTATGTTAAAAACTATTATAGGGAGATCGCTAAGGAGGTTGAAAGACTGTCCATCGAATTACGTCAAAATGCGAAAGTAGGTGCAGCCCGTAGACAACATGTTGTCTTGCCACCTTTGGAGGAAACACAAACGACCATAATGTCTCAAATTCCATCGTTTACCACTAATGTCTCGTATGAAAGTTATGGAAGTTTGATTCCGCATCAACATCTTAACTTTAACTTTCCGATAAATTTCTTCAATCATGAATCTCACGAAATAATCCTGCAGCAAACCCTTCCTTTCGAAAACAACTTTAATGATCTCAATAGTCACCCTTATTAGGGTGTTAATAGTGACATTATCTTTTTTAATTATGGAATTCTTATGATAAGTGATATCACTATAATATGTCTCTATAAGCTATTAAGAACTTTTATGGCAAATTTTTTTCATTACAGATGATAAAGTTCACTGATTATTATGTAACTAACTATTCGATAATTGGTTCTTAGAATTTGTACTTCATTTAACGTTTCTAAGAATAAATAAATAAATAAATAAGTTATGGTACCATAGCACTATCTTCGTTATCTTTGTTATCTTTGTTTATTAAATTAAAAATAGCCTCAACATTTGATATTGACATATTTTGATTAGTATCATAATTTGTCTAATTGCTTTACTAATGCAAGAATTTGTTGTTAGTAAAACACGTTATACGATTGTGAATTGTAATTTAATGCTGACCGTAAGTAGCCTTGTAAACCTATTTTCTAAATGACTGTTCATTTCCCGACAATCATTTCCATGATAGGAAAAAACAGTCAGGATTTTGTAAAGCTTCACGTGACAACAAACCAATCAAATTATAAAATTGTCGTTAATACGTATTATTAGAAACCAGAAAAAAAACCAATTTGAATCGATAAACATGCATATATGTATTTAAAAGAAGAATAAATACATAAAAGAATTCAAAAAAAGTGGTATTTGCTATTAAACATGAATCCATTACGCCTCTTGTCTACCAACCAAAGTTTTTATCTACAATCAGATTCAAGCACGTTAAAAAAACGATTTAATATTAAATCCAGATCTTTCATCATGAACAAGTTTATACCAACCAAATGTGCAGTTAGTAAGCTCATTGATATGGTATACAGTAATTTTGTATGCCCAATAAACGGTGGCATATTTTGTTCTAAGTCTTTCAGATTGAGGATTATTTTTCATATCAAACATGGCAATGATGTACAATTGGAAGATTAGAAACGGTATTGGAAACTTCCAATTCCCAACAGCTTTGTTGCTATTGGAAATACAATTGCATATCCCTGAACAATGGTGGTTTTCTAAAGCAATCAATGGTGTTTGTGGTGAAACTTTTGTTAGTGAAACGTTACGTTCACAGAAGTACTTTAATATATATAAATAAGTTACCCGAGCAATTGATCTACACTAGCCAATCAAGCAAACTTCTGTCTATGGAAGCAAAGATAAGAACTATATGTCGGGAACATGACTATCAGGAAAAATCATATAAACAGTTGATTTTCAGCAGGGCATGTAACCCAGGTAAAGTTTAGGGCACTGCAAACAGTAGTACCCTCTTGGAAAAGTACCCTCTTTAAATAGTAGCGAGGTACTATTCAATTGTAGATTCTAACATTCTTGAAAAGCAATCAAGTAACTCGAATCAATAATGGTCAACACACGTGATTAATATTCTCTTAAGTATACCCCGTATACTATCCATTCTTCACACAGTACCCGAGTATTATTTAATTTACTTTGGCTTTCTGAAAATACCGGGGTGCTGTACACAACGCTGTTTAGTAAACCGTCCCACTATCACTGTGAAGCTATTTCAATATAGGCTACAATTCAGTATCAATCCAATGTCACGTGACAATTATGGTCACAAAATTCGGAGAATCTACGATAGAGGTCCGATCATGGTAATGAAAATCCAAATATCTACATTTCATTATTTAACTGTTTAAAATACAGATATCGCCAAAATCCTCAATGAATATCCAGATATATTTATTGAATTCATTAAATACTGAAATATCATACGTATACAGTATTTGTATGCGCCCTGTCTAGATACATCTTCAAAATCTGATTGCAGATCAATTTGCAAATTTGGTTTTTTTTTATGCGCCTCAAAAAATGAACCAAGAACTCGGTTGGCTAATAAAAAATTTTTTACTTATTTTAGGAATTTAATTTTTTTTTCCGGAGTTTTTTTTTTAATTCTTTTGATAAACTCCATGAGCATGCATCTTATTTTTAAATATATTTCAAGGCACTAAATTTCTCCTGTAACATTTCTGTTGATATTTTTACGATGACGAATATCTATTACATATCTAATAAAAGGCTTTTGTAAATTAATACAAGTAAATAAACTATATATTAAAGACCTCTCTAAATGCAACCCTCTAAACGCATATTCTAGGAAAAATCTATGGCTCTATTCGGTCCCAACTTATATAATACTTATAGATTTTTATCCCCATACTTCCCTAAATGCAAATTTTACATATAGGAACCTTGGCTATGCATTTAGAGAGGGTTGACAGTATATGCCTATTAACATGTTAATTAATTGATAATTAATATAAATAAAAAAAATTAATTAGTAGGATAGTGGTGCAATAGGCACCAATAGACGTCACTATTGCTGCCAAAATTTAACTCCTAAAGAGGTCAATAGGATATCAATGGTCAACAATCGGAATCATGCGTATTATCAATAAGACATCAATAGGATTTATCCTACTGATATTATTGATAACATGGTACCAATTGATCCTGTTGACCTCTTTTGGAGCAAAATTTGGCAGCAATAAGATGTCTATTGGTGTCTATTGCATCCTATTGAACTTAATTTTACTTGTATCAGGGTACCTCATATCAGTCTAATTACAAACATAAAACAGGGTTGCATAGTGATGATCATTAATTAAGACTTTTATAACAATTTTTCGGATATGTGTCTATATTAAATTATTATAAAAAAAAATGAATTTACTACGCCTTTAATTCCTCTCGTAATATTCAATTTTTTTTTTAATTCTATAAAGCAAAATGTTTAATGAAAGGTATCTTTATACCGCAACAGCGTTAGAATTTATCTTACTAATTGAATATAATATAGCTTACTGGTGTCTACTATATACTTGTGGCCGAAATTTTTTCAGGGGTATTTTAAGATTCAAAAATCCGAAACTCCAATTTGAAATTATGTCGAATTCGAAATTTATCGAAATTTAAAAAATATTTGAAATAACTGAAAATATTTCTATGTATTTTTTAATAAGCTAAAGTATATTTTTTTTAAATAAAAGCGTTATTTATATATTTCTATAATCTAATTGACATTTCATATAATACATTTATTGCTAACATTTAAATTATAGCCGTTATTAAATGGTTTGTGAATTTAGTGCGAGTTAAATTTATGAAAAGCGTAATTATTATTGAATTCTAAAATTTTACTATGAAAAATACAATTAATATCGAATTTTATACAAGTTCACTACATTACTTAAACAGTGAACTAATTATATATATTGGATTATAGTCTATATCATAGTACGTATATATTCGACAGTTTATGGAATGACGATAACAAATTTTTATATTGTAAAAATGATAAATTTTATTTTGAAAAAATGACAAATTTTATTTAATAAAGGATTTAACTAATGCAAAAGTTTATTTAAATTTCGACAATTTAGACTAACTTTTAACTTTCGATCAAAATTTGATTTCGATTAATTTTTGATTCATTATTAAATTTTTCGAAATTGAGTTCGATACTAAGTTCGAAAATTCAGAATTTCGGCCACAAGTATAGTCTACTATCATGCGATTTACAAACATAATACAGGTCACATAGTAAGTCGTTGGCAGGCAACTTTGAGAATTTTTGGAATTTGTCCTTTATTTAAGTCGCCTAAATTTACGAGATCAAAATTTCCGAATTTGATACGTAATATAAATATTGGAATCGCATATAGAAAATCTAGGACAGATTATGTTAACACCAATCTCTGAATTACAGCAAAAAAAGTTTTACTGAAAATTTCAAGTTGTTTTTGAATAAAAAATGGCCCTTTTAATAAATATTGATAATATTTTATAATGTAGTAAAAAATAAGGCTGAAACCGAAACAATTTTAATATTGAAACATTTATAAAATATGTGGCAGAAAATTCATAAAAACTGAATTAGATAATTTGATTTGTAATTATAAAAATGCTTGCAATATATCACAGGAAAATTACTATACCTTTCGGTATATAAATACGTTACGATTCTGTAAAAGAACACAAATTCCAGCTCAAGTGGCTGCTGTATGATAAATAAAAAGAAAGGTAAAAAGCATCCTCATGATAGCAGCTATGAATAAATTACAAATACATAAAAAAAGAATGACTGTTAAAGCATTGTATAATTATCACAAAATGATAATGCAATAAAGAAATAATAGTTTTATTTTTCTTTTAAGTGCACTACAAAGAAAACAAAGAAAGATAAATATTTTATTGCTTTTAGTTATATTTCTGCATTTGTACAGTACAATGCAAAAATTTAAATCATATTTTTTTCGAAACTTAAATACTGTAAATGTTTATTTATATTATTAAACATCAATATTATCGTCACTAATACAGTCTACTTTCTTTACGATCGTATTTGCAATCTGAATAGTGTTTGAAACTCGGAGATTCCATGTGCATCGGGATTTGAAAATGAGTAATACCAAGAAAAATAGTTTCTCTAGGTATTACTCATTTTTAGATTACGATAATGATTATTACATCGTAGCAACTTCGTAAATTTTGTTCTTGTAAATTTGGGATTTAAATGAAGGTTAAACTCTAAAAATCCTCCAAAATGGGGTTTCTATAAAATTTAAATTCAATAGCTCCTGAACAAATAAACATGTACAAATAAAGTTATCTTAGCGAAGCCCTCTTGTTATTTAATTGTTACTTGATTTGATAAATAACATTCTGGCGGATCGGCGGAATTGACCATTTTAATCAGACCCTAAATTAATCATTTAAGGGTACCGTAATTTGCGGCAAATAGTACACCGGGTCTCTTACATTCCTAGGCCTTAAAAATTGATTAGTACCCCCTAGGACCGTCAATTGACTATATAATTTGACTAAATTGACGCGAAATTGACGATGGGCAGGTACTTTAACAAGGGGGGGTACTATTTGCCGAAAATTACAGTAATTTCGATCAATGGTAAAATTTAAATTTGGTCCCATGTTCTCAAAAAGAACAGTTTTAAGTTTTTAATGTTCTTTATATA